CCACCCTTCGGCTACTTTTTATGGCTAGAATCTGTAGGCACTCATGACTACGAGATTTCATTACTGTTAGTGAGTACACGATAGCACATTTACTATAAATAATTCACACTGTACTCCACTTGTCAGAAGGAATAAACAAAGCATGTATCTCAGGGCAGGAGCCTCAATTTTTATTGTTTTACTCACTTACTACTAATTCTCCAGCCCCAGCTTCCTGTCACTGTGAATTATGGCACCTCTGCTGTATGTAAATATTGCATTGTGGGTAATTAAATATTGGGGAAGGAACCTCTGTAAATTACTTTAACTGGTGTCAGCACCAAAGCAATCTGAAGTTTTTAGTTCTGTTTCTAGTTTGGGTTATTTTCTGACCCTAAACAGTCTGACATAAAGGAGTGCTTTTCGTTGTCAAAGGCAGCCTTTTCAAATCTAACTGCCAGACAAGCTGTGGAGCTATGGGTTCAACTCTAATTGGCTGAGATCTTTTCATTTAGCAGTTTCATCTTTGATGCAATGGATGTAGGATTACGTGCAGATCTTTTCAATGGGTTTTCCATACTGGTGCTTAGGGCAGAGGATCTGAACATAAGCAGGCTGCTGGCTACATCTTCTGGACAATTTAAATTGAATCATACAAGTACTTTGTACCTTAGAGAAAGGGCAGAACAAACCCAAGAGAAACTGCTATCGCTTCACTTTGGGTCAAATTATAGAAAAAGGAGGAGGGAGTCCTGGGAAGGAGGAACACTCTAAATACTGTTAAATTGAAGCTTGGTGGACTCTAGCCAAACATGGTTAATTCTCAACAGAAGATTTCATTGAAAAACTGAGGTAACTAGGGAATTGATTTTGGTCTCCGTGAGTTAAAAGGTTCATCTATATAGACAACATTCATCCTATATGGCCCCCACAAAGCCAGCGTGAATCAACTCTTCAGAATGTATTCCAAAAGAACAAATGACTTTTCTAAAATCTTAAAGTACCCCTGGAGTTACTGTATCAGACTATTGCAGTGAAGGTTAACTAAAATTTAGTTTATGTCAGATGAAGTAGCTTAGAGCCATTAAGTCACAAGGGATATTGAGAAAGATAAAACACTGTTCTAGTCTGTGTGTAGTCTTGGATGAGATATTCGGAACAGGGGTCCCACCTTTTGTCATCGCCACATGATGGTGTCATCTACCAAGTTCATGCTTGGGAATTGGACAACCAAGTGACAGAAACATCACAGAATTATGTCTCATATTGTCTTAAGTAAGTTTGGGGTTTTGTGGGGATCCATATCCATAAACATCCTAGGTCTGACTCCCCTCAGAAGTATCCTTTCAGAGGAACCCTGCTTGTGAAGCCCCTGCCTAGGCCTGGGGTAGGGCAGGGGCCCTGACAAACCAGAGCCATTTCCAAATCCCTTCTGTCCTGTGAGAGTTCTGCATGACCCACAGAAGAGTTCTTTTTGAAAGCCATAATTAATTTGGTGAATCCTTCTCCAAAGGACAGAAGAAGCACGTCTTTATTGAAAACAAACAGAAACTGTCCTGCTGACAGCAGTAACAAGGCCATTTCAGTCTTCACAGAGCACATGAAAACAATGCCGGAGAAAACAGCAACAATGTCATCTTGCTGGTCTGACTTGCTCTGCCCCAACATATGCAAACCATCCATCTGTCTCCTGGGTACTAACATTCAGTTTGCTAAAGTTCACAGTAATTATGGGAATCCATGCTGGTTCCTGGCACTTTAGTTGGACAAATAGAGGTGACATATACGACCAGTTCTGCAGAGATGAGTGGGCAGGCACACTGAACTACAGGGTTTCTGCTGTAAAGAAGTCTCAGGAGCTGTGCAGTGATTCATCGTTTTGTAAGGAGTTGATTCAAACAAAATATAAAATAAATAAAGCCAGATTTCGACTATCACTCTTAATCAACTGAAAACAAACAAAATCAGGCCCAGTGAAAAGAAATCTGAAACAGCAATTCCAGAGCAGCTTTCTGGAAGACTAATGCTTGGTAAACACTGTGGCTCTGAATCTCACAGCCCTTGAGAAAAGCTGTCTGAGAATTCATGAACAAACATGGCATGTTGAGCAAAAGGAATCAGTGAGGCCTCCCAAGCTTCAAACTGTGGAAGATTCACCAGTTGATACTTAAAGATAGAACTACTTAGAGTTTCATAATTCAAAGCAGAAGGCCATGGTACTTTACAGCAGTGTGTTCATAGCCACCAAAACACACACACTACACTTACAAGTGAATTCCATGACACGGTATTCTTTAAAGCTCTAACCAAATGTCCATGGTTGGTAGAATATTTAAATGAGTTGTGATTCTGCCTCAAAACATTACAATATGCAGTAATATGAATGGACAGTCTACAGCTGCTTGTAAAGAGATGGGTTGATCTTGCAAATCGTTGGTCAACAGAAGCCAGATACAGTGGAGTATACCATAACATTCCAGTCCATAAATCAGAAAAAGAAGCTGTGGCACACTCTTTCAAAAGGGATAGGAAGAGAAGGTCAGTAGTGTTTCTGGGGCTTGAGTGCTGGTAAATTTTTTCATTTGGGTTCTGGATGGGTGTAAGAACTCACTGAGCTATGTAGGAGGGGCTTGTGCAAGGATCTATGGTGTTTCATCTCTATTTTACTGACTCACCCATGTAAAAGTAATCCTGCATAATTTTCACTAGCAATCTCCAGACCTGTGTATTTTCCTGTCTCCGAGCTTGCAAAGTCTCCTGTTTTCATCCTTCAAACTTCATATCTCCTTTTGCTAATGGACTTTACCCTATTTCAGGCACAAAACTTTTTAGATCAACTTGGCAGGCTGAGAAAGCCTACAGCTTGGTAATTTTGCTTGTCAGCATGATGTTTGAGGATTCTCACATTAAAAATGAGAAACCTATTTTTATATATACTTTAAACATCCTAAAAATGCACAGAGGAAACCAGGATAGGGGGATCAAATAGGGAGGGGGATGAGAGAGAAGGGTAGAGGAGGGACTACACGGAGGGACAACTGATACTAAAGGCCATTAGAAAAACCAGATGGAAACCTACTACTGTAGAAGCATCCTAAAACATCGACGTATACGAAAGCAATCTAAATCAAACCAGCAAATAATAGGGAGACAATGACCAAACAGACATTTTAAGACATCTTGAAACCTCAAGTGCCAGGAACTTGTTATTTCTTATTGAGTTGTTGACCAAAGGAGTCCCATGGGAACCCCCAAATATCACATCTTATTGCCAAGGCTATTGGTTATTTTGCATAACATGGTAGTAAGGCCTTATGGCTGAAGACAACACTTACTTATGTCATCCAACATGGAAAAATCAAGTTTTTCCCAACTAGAAGCTCCACATTTCTGACAAGCATTCATGGAGCTTTAAGGTACTTTACTGGAGGAGAGAGGTAATCACCAATTACCTAACCTAAAAACCCTGTGACCTACAACAGTGACCTGTCTGCAAGATATATTGGCCCAATCATGTTACAAATGTTATGGGAGTGATCAATCACTTTTTGATTGGATTTAAGGCACATTCCATGAGAGGGAACCCATGCCTGACACTGCTTAAGTGGCCAAGAAGCTGATGCTAGATAGGTCATGGGCCTACAGGAATACCTACTACTGTCATTCTGCTAAAGGAACATGGTAAAAATTACTCCTAATGATATATGGCTATACACATAGATTGGTGCCTTTCAATGAATACCAGAGAAGCTTCTTGATGTGGAAGATTGAAATTAAATTAATATACACCCACAACTGGACATTGTGCCGAGAGTGAGAGATTTGAGTACTCAGCGCTATGTGGAATGTCTTCATCAAACCTCTCCCCTCAGACCCCGGGGATCAATACAGAAGAGGGAACAGAAAGATTGTAAGATCCAGAGGTAATGGGTGATTACAAGGAAGCAATGTCTTCCAGACACAACAGGACAGACACACATATGAACTCAGAGATTATGGCAGCTTACACAGACCTGCACAGGTTCAAGCTCAACAAGTTCCCAGCACTGAGAGGAGGATGTGGCCACGGAGTTACACCCCTAACCAAGAAGCTATTTACAATTGGTACACAGTAGTAAAAGGGAAATAGGTTTTCTCCGATTGAGAAATTGGGTATATCAACCATACTCCAGGACAGACCCCATACTTACTACCCACTTCGGTGTGTGACCTCAAATCCTTTTAATGATGAGGTAAACCCTTTTGATGAATGTGAACAGCCCCATTGGCTTCCACCACCCCAAAGGCTGGGAGTGGCATTGCATCACACTGGAGACCAATAACAGAGAAGTCCTTGCATGGTTGTAACCAGCCTAGCCAATGTTCCCATCAATACATTTGGAAAATGTTGCCGTTATGACTTTATTTTGTCCTGTTTCTACAAAAACTTGATGAGATTATTACCACATTGTAATGTGGTATTTGGAATAACCTAAATCTGTTTTTCTGGGTCACAGCAACTCAATTTGGCTCTGGAATAAACTTTTCTTATTCTTTTTAAGGTGAGAGCTGTGTGTTTTGTATATTTTCTTCCTTGCTTTATTGTAACACAAATGTTCTGAGTAGGATTTAAACTAAAAAATGTTCCATATATATATATATATATATATATATATATATATATATATTCTGAAAATTTAGATCTACATCAATATTTCCTCTAAGATACAGAAACCAGCTGTAAGACCACTCTGCTATGGTCACCTATCTTAGTCCTGTTTATCTAGAGCCTAGAATTGCAGCAGCCCAGTCCCTTTTCATTGTCAATGCTGAGAATACATCAGCTCATTTGCAGCCCAGAAGTTGCTTTCTCTAATAATGGTCTGTTAGACTCTTTGATCCAGGTCCCCAGAGCTTTACACACAATCTACAGAGAAAGTGGGAGGGTAAGTCATGTAAGCAAAGGGATTATTGATGCATTGGCATAATCTATGCACACAGTTCAATGTGTCACTGCAGAGATGCAATGATTAAAAACATACCTTTTTCATAAGCCCACATCAAACATGTCTGCTCATCCTTTTCACCACTAGACCTGCTGGGATCACAGGCAACTAGATTCATATCAGCACCATTATCCAGTAGGAACTGAACCAGGCGAATGTGGCCATGGTAGCAAGCAGAGTGCAATCCTGTGATGGAAAAGAACAAAAGAAGGAAAAGAAGAAAGAAGAACAGGTGCTTTGATATCAAAAGAGTCATCCTTACAAACAGGATTGTTTCTAGAAATATAAAGCCATACTTGATATGTGATGAGAAATTATTTTTATTATTGAGAAAACAAGTGATATGTTCAGCAATAGAGGTATCCTAGTCTAGGCAGTTTCTATATTGACTATATTTATTCACAATATGTTTTATTTTTTATTCCTAAAACTATAGTAGTGGTCAAGAACAAATATTATTGCCTTTACAAAAAAAAAAAAACTCAAGAGTCCAGTCAGTATTTTTCTTGAACACCAAACCAATGGCAGAGAGATGTCATCAACCTTTCACAATTCTAGCTACACAGGTTGCAAGACTGTATGTAGATTTTTAAACCAACAGTGGAACTGAACAAAACTCAATCTGATTTTTGTTATTGGCATTTACCATTAATTCTAAATTATTCTAATTGATAATAATACCTTGGCCTCTGGGACTTGACCATTCTCAATATGCTGTTCCCCTTGGATCAACACTGTTCTTGATAACTGACAGGTCTGTGTATACATGGTGTTCTCGATACAGTCTTACCTGTGTGCCCATCTCTTCCTCGGTGATTAATGTTCACAGCATTCTGATCAAGAAGAAATTTTACCAGGTCAATGTTCTTGCCATAGGTACAAGCACTGAAGAAGTACAAAATGAGAAAGATAGAGGGTCCTTATGTGTTGAGTCATGTCCCTGAGGAACTCCTAATTCCAAGGATTTCAGTGTGGACTGTATTTAGAGATATTGTCTTCCAAGATGTAGTTGAAGTCCAGTGGGATCCTTAGAGTAGATACTAATCTAATAAGATTGGTGTCCTTATGGGAAATGGAACTTGGGACAAAGATTACACAAGCAGAAGGTTGGGCACAGCAAAGTAGAGAGAAGTTGACCATCTTCAATCCCAAAAGAACATCTGCATAGGAGGTCAGAGTAGTTAGTACACAGATCCTATAGATCTGAAAGTGTGAGGTGATCCATCACTCTTGTTTAGGTCACACAGGTTGCTATATGCTAATATGGGAACCATTACAAATGATATAAACTTGGTTAATCCTGGCCAGTTTAATACTGGTGTGTGTAGAAAAGTAACAGAGAGATAGGCTAGGAAGAGAGAGGGGGGGGGGGAAAGTGAAGGAAAAAGCAACAGAGCCCCTGTAAGCACTGCTTAACAGCTGGAGCAAAGCAAAGGAGTGGGTGAGATTCCTAGAATTGGTTCACATGTTCCCCATGCTGTCAGTTCACCTTTACTCTAGCAGATACAAGCAAGACAGTAAAATGCAAATTCCAGACAGGTCCATAGAACTTTTATCGAACTGAGGTGACCATCTGAAATTAATCCCCAGGAAATGATTCCTTTCTCAAGGGCTCAGTGATGAAAGAGTAGGTGCTGCAGGTTGTTACTGTCCCAGGGAGCATGTCCACACACTAGCCTGGAACGTGTTCTGACCTCTGAGCTTCAGTTTCCATTTCCCCCCTCTGCTTGCTCCACACTGTTAAAAATTCAAATGAATCCATGCTATGGTGTCATGACACAAACCAGTGCATCCTCGTGATCATTTCTTTCAGCTGGAGGGGACACTGACATATTTAAGGACCCAAAGGAATTAAGGTTTTTATTCTTCTCTCTTTTATTACATCCTGACCACAGATTCTATTCTCTCCTTCCTCCCCTCCCTGAAGTCTCTTACTCGCCGCTTCCCTCTCCCCCAGATCCATCCTGACTCCAGCTCCCCTCAGAAAAGAGCAGGCCTTCCAGGGACATCAACCAAATGTGCCATAACAAGCTGCAGTAATACCAGGCACATACAATCACATCAAGACTGGATGAGACAACCCAGTAGGAGAAAAAATGTTCCACAAGCAGGCAAAAGAGTAAGAGCCCCTGCTCCCACTGTTAGGAATCTTACAAGGACACCAAGCTACAGAGTCATAACATATGTAGAGAACCTAGGTCAAACCCCTACCAGCTTTCTGATCTCTGAGAGCCTCCGAGTCCTGGTCAGTACATTCTGTGGGCCCTGTTCTTTTGGTGTCCCTGACCCCTTTGGTTCCTCTGATCCTTCCTTCTCCTCCTCTGTAGGACTCCTAAGCTCTGCCTAATGTTTGGCTGTGGGGTCTGCATCTGCTCTCATCGGTTGCTGGATGAAGCCTCTCTGGTCTCTTTGATGATTATTCTGCTAGGCTCCAGTCCCAGAACACTCTGCAGGCAGGACAAACTGTAGGTCAAAGGTTTTGTGGCTGAGTTGGTGTCCTAACCCCTCCACTTGAGTCCTTGACTGGTTGCAGAAGACAGCCCATTCAGGCTCTGTGTCACCCATTACTAGGATTCTTTGCTACGGATAGGCTCATAGAGTCCATGGAGTTTCCATTGACTAGGTTTCCACCTTGCCCTTGAAATGCGCCCTAGTTCCAGTCATTTCTCCCTTGCCACTCGATCTCTCCTGTTCCCAACCCCACCTGCCCCTAGTCGATCTACAAAATCTACTATTTTTACCCTTCCCAGGGAGATCCTTGCATTCTCCTTTAAGCCTTTCTTGTTACTTAGACTTTATGGGTCTGTGGACCATAGTATGATTATCTTCCACTCTATAGCTAATAACATACTGTGGTTGTCTATTTGGGTCTAGGTTATCTCACTTAGGATGATTTTTTTCTAGTTCCATATATTTGCCTCAAAATTTCATGATGTCATGGTTTTAACAGGTGAGTAATACTTTATTGTGCAAATATATCACATTTACTTTACCCATTCATTGGATGAAAGATATCTAGATTGTTTCCAGTTTCTAGCTATTATGAATAAAGTTCCTATGAACATAGTTGAGCAAGTGTCCTTATGAAAGGATGGAACATCCTTTGGTTATATGCCCAAGAGTAGTACAGTTGGGTCTTGAGTTAGATAGATTCCCAGTTTTCTGAGAAAATGCCATATTGATTTCACATCCAATTAAATGGAGAGAAACTCACAGCAATTCCACTAAAATAAGGAACAAGACAAGGCTGTCTGCTATGAGATGTTCTCTATGCTGTGAATGTGTTGCTCTGATTGGTTAATAAATGAAGTGCTGATTGGCCAGTAGCCAGGCAGGAAATATAGGCAGGACAAAGAGAGAGGATTATTCTGGGAACAAGAAGGCTAAGTCAGTAGACACTGCCAGCTGCTGCCATAAGAAACAGATATTAAGATACTGGTAAGCCACGAGCCATGTGGCAACTTATAGATTAAAAGAAATGTGTTAATTTAAGATGTAAGAACTAGATAGCTAGAAGCCTGCCACAGCCAAACAGTTTATAAGCAATATAAGTGTCTGTGTGTTTATTTGAGTCTGAGTGGCTATGGCCCCAGGTGGGACTAGAGCCACCTCAAACTGAGACAAAATTGGTCCTTCCTCACTTAGCTGCTCCATTTATTTATTTGGCCACAGAAATACAAAGAACAGCTTATAGATACTTAGATTTTCTTTAGCTTTAAAAGGATTTATAAAAATTAAATGAGGTAATGGACACAATAACCTGGAGTGTAATCACTGCTTCCTCCTTAAGTGGTAATTTTTCTTGGCAACTGGTTTGGCTGTGAAAAGGCAAATCTTTGGTTTTATGCTCTATTTGAAGGGTTGCTGCCTGACATAGAAGCACAAGGTTATTGTTATTTTAGAATTAACAATGTTTTCCTTTCTATTATTTACCAACACACACCAAACAATATGGGGACAACAACTAAGTCTGGAATACCATTTTTAGAGGTTGCAAATTAGCTGAGAAATACATAATGGTTAAGTAAAGGATCTTTCTATTTGAGATTTATTAAATTCAAGGCATTATTTTCATAGTAAAATGACAACCCTCTAGGGCTCCTAGTGTTGTGAGGCACCCATCCTCCCCCTGATGGCCCAGAAGCTGCTGTGGTCTGAGTTACCAGCAGCCCCTGGCTTTGTTCCCTTGCCGAGTTCAGGTGCATCTTTCCCAATCCCAGCTGACCCTGCAGGATGCTTTCCTAAGCACATTGGCAAGAAAAGAGCTACATCCTAGGTATCCCAACGCCATCCTGACTAGGCTTTTAGCAGCTGACAGATGGATATCCTGGGTAGACACATTTGCACATAAGGTTTAGAAAGTGAGGGAGAAAGTGTCATATTTGATGCTGATGAATCCTAGTAATGAGATTCTTGTCAGAGGAGGATTATGGGTACAGCCCCTTTTGGCAGCTTTTCACAGAGTGAGGAGCAATATGCTTACAGATGTTGATAGGCCTGTTGCCTTGGCAACATCAGTCCCTGTCTTTGTGCCTCCAGCTGGAAATGCGGCATCTGGCTCTAGCCCCATCTGCAATACTGATGGCGGTGTCTGCCTCCACCTTTCCTTCCTGCATCCAGCTAGACTTCTTGTCCTTTGCCTGCCTCCGCACTCACTCGCTAATAGCAACATCTGCCACTATTTGTTATGGCTTTGTGTATGTGACTTTGGCTGCATGGTGTCAGCCAAGCTCAGTGGCTAGTACCACATATTCTTTACCTGTGAAAGGCTGTCTCACTGAAGATGTTTTCCTTAGTCAGACTTTCAGTTCCTGTTACATGAATAATTTCCTTTGCAACTTCAAAATTTCCATTATAGCATGCCCTGGATGGGAAGAAAATATTTTGATTTTTTTGACAAGTAAGAGGACATGAGTTGGACATGAGAAATGCTAGGTCATACTCACAGGTGCAAAGGAGTGTCACCATAGATGTTAACAACGTGAGGCTGAACCTCCAAGTCACTTTGGAGCAAGTAGTTCACAATGCTGTGGTGTCCAAAGCGAGAACAGAAGTGCAGGGGGACATGGTCCTCATTGTCCTGAGCATTCACTGCAGTTGGTAAAAAAGCACAGATGTGTCATCTGGAATTCATTCTTTCTCATCCTTTATATGCACAGTGCCATGCGCTTTGCCTAAGTGCCTAAGATACTCTTGGAAATTGCCAATTACTGTTTATAATAGAGGAAATTAAGTGCAACCAATTAAAAACGTTATAATTCTATTCTATTGCCACATCAGATAGGCTTTCCTCTAGTGCCCATAAATTCTATGGAATACAACTAATCAAATTTGTCTTGCACTGGAGAAACCTATATGCATCCAAAGCACCTGTGGCCTCATTCCTGTCAGTATCCCTTCCAATTGACCCCCATTTTCCTCTGAAGGATTTTAACTTTGAAAGTTCTGGACTGTTGAGATAACTCATTGTATAAAGGCATCTGCAGCTAAGCCTGTGGACCTGAGTTCTATCGCCAGGCCCCACATGGTTGAAAGACAAAACTAACTCTTATAAGTTGTTCTCTGGCCTCCTCACAGAAGCTATGGTTCATGCCCCACCTCCCCTTGTCCATGTAACTTAAAATCTTTAAGTTAAAGATCCCACTGGGGCACTGGATGGGAGGTGCTGTACTCCCCATCTGGGAATCACAACACTGCACAAGAGGAGAAGCATTTAGATGAGGATGCTCAAAGGCAGATCTCTGGTTTCTCCTTGAACGATACAGTGCTAAGCACAGTGAGGTTACCTGTGCTGCCTTGGGATTATTCTCAGCAATGGTCGTTCACTCCCCACACTTCTCCAGCTCAGACACCTTTGTATGGCATCTTTAAATCAACTCACCGCATCAGACTCTGACTTTGACACAGGAATGTAGGCCAAGTCTATCCTGGCAATATGGTCATTAGTGACAATAATGTCACCCAGTTTCTATTGGTAGCAATTACAATCACAGGATCAGGGTCCTGACTGGTTGTTTCTAGAAGCCCAACGTCTGCATGTGTCCCCATAGGACCCTTTTGGGGTGTGACATTGGAGATGCTTCTTTGCTGCGAGAGCTCTGGGCCTGACTTTTTTCTTTGCTCTGGAGTAGACACTGGGTGCTATTTGATATTTTCTCTAGTTTCCTTTCAGAAAACACAATGATGAAATGCAGTTTGGGGAGGAAAGGATTTATCTTATATTTCCAAGTCAAAAATCTACTACTGAGGAAACTTAGGACAGGAACTCAAGTAGGAAATGAAATAGACACTGTGGGAGAATGGTTCTTACTGGCTTGATTCTGGCTCATGCTTAAATAGCTTTCTTTGACATCCCTAGGACCAATGTCCCAGGGCTGGTGCTGCCGATGGTTGGCTGTGTCCTCCTGCATCCATCATCAATCAAGACAATCTCTCCCAGTCATGGCCAGAGGCCAGCCTGATAAAGGCAATCCTTCAACTGATGTTCTTTCTTTCTAGGTGTCTCTAGGTTGTATGTAGTTTACAGTGAAAACTAACCAGGTGATAATGCAAGAAATCCACTGAGTCTATTTAATGAGCAAAGGAATTTATTAGGGGATAACTCATTATAGCCTGGGTATTTATCATAGGGTCCAGGAAAGTGGAGCTATGTCCCATGCTGATCTTCTTTCAAGATCTACCTGGTCAGTCCCAGCATGCAAACCACGCGGGAGCAAAGAGGGCGCCCCATAGGTGCATCCCAGGTCTTAAGGGTTCTGGAGTGGCCATGCCCCAGGGGCACGCACTTCAAGGTTGTAGGCAAGTGTAGCAGTTACCTGCTGCCTCACTAGGGGTGGTGCTTCAAGGTCATCGCTAGAACCGCTACCCACTATAAGGTATATAACCTTTAATATATTCTTTTCATGCTGAAATCAACACTAGCTTTGGATGCTTGGGAAAACCCAACTGCAGTGCCTCGTCCCTTAAATGGCCACTATAGTCCATCTCTGGAGCAGTGTTAAAGTACTCCTGTCTTCTCCGACATCATGACTATAACAGAACCATTGTTGGTGCCAAACAGAAAACATCAATGAAACTTATGTTTGTAAGGCATTTAGTGTTGTTATACTTTTTGTGCACACATTTAATAAAGATCATTCCACCTATTTCCTAATTTCTCTTATAATTTTTTGTTAAAACAAATGAACTATGAACACATAATATGTATCTTGAAATAACATAAAATCTCATTGCAAGACAGGCTTAATAATAACTAAACATGAAACTGCTCAATTCTAGGTCTGACTTTAACTCAGTATCTGAAGAATAAAACAGTTGGTCAGCTGCTCTGGATACATTTTTGTGGGATTTTTTTTGTGTGATTTTCCTGTCACGTTTTTAAATGAAGAATCTCAAGGGAAAGTGAGGCCACAAAAGTGTGCATAGCTTGTTCAGACTGTTGGCACATTGTATGTAGCACTTAAGGAAGGAGGATTTTGAATACAGATTTGCCTTCTAGCTGCTACAGTTCTTGACAGCCTCTTTCCTTTATTGCCCTGCAAGGTCTTAAGCAAATGGAAAAAACTTTAGCTGTGTCTTGCAAAGCCTGTGAGGAGGACTGCCTTAGAACACCCTTCCCTCAGAAGAACACACTTCCCTCAGGGGAACACCCTGCCCTCAGAATACCCTTTTCTGAGAACACCCTTCCCTCAGAACACCCTGGCTCTTTTGATTATCTGCTTGTCTATAACCATTTGATTTTTTTTTCATGTTCTGTGAGAATCCAGGTAAATTCAATGGCATGGGTCTGTTCTGGTAAATTCAATGCACCGAGTATCAGGAGCCTCCCCTGAGGGTTCCCAAACCCTACTAAATAAATAAAAGTGGAACACAGTCTTATGCAAGCTTGCGAAGGGCCACCTGGCCAAACTCACCACTCTCAGTGTGACTCTTCTCCAACAGAACCAAGGGAACTTCAAGGTCCCTACCTAGTGGACATGCCTCTGTGCTGCAGACATTTCTCCTTCCACTGCACACCGAGGGGTGTAGCATCAGACACAGGGATCGCATAGCTTTATTGCAGTCATTGTGAGATATTTGTTTTTATCTTGGACTGATTTTGAGACGAAAATCTACAAATTAGTGTGTTATCTTAGGAACAATGAGACATGATGATATGCATCAATTCTGTTTGGAGTAGCTTTGTATTTTTCTAAAGCCAGACCTGGTAGTGCAGGTAGGTCTCTGATCCCAGACAGAGCTGAGACATTAGTGATAGAACTTCAAGATAAGCCTGGGCTATAGAGTGAGTTCAAAGTCAGCATGGTAATTTAATGAGACCCTGTCTCAAAAATAATGTGATGCCTAGGGTTATTGCTCAGTGGTGGGCAGCTTATACAGTATGTACAAAGCCCTGAGGTTCATTCCCTAGCAAAGCAAGAAAAATCTCTAATCACAATATTTAAATAAAGGAGACTTCCAAACAAAGGAATATATGTAATTCATTATCAGGAAAATATTTCATGCTCTCTTTCATTTCATAAAAGAATGAGTGCTTGCCAGCCAGTGGTTTTTAAAAGATTGTTGGATGGTAGGTTATATGGAACCTACTTCTTCTTTTTTCATGTTTACTGACCTTAAAAATAAAACAAAAACTCCCAGACTAAGTCAGCAATACTACTAAGACTAGCCAGTGTTTAAAATAAATTCCACATGTGTCTTCAATAAACTTTCAATAAACTTTCAGTAACAGATCTGTATAATTCCAATGAGATATATTTAAAAAATAAAGCAGTCTTGCTAACCACGATCTTACTTGATTAGATTTTTTACTTTTATTTGTATGTGTGTGTGATATGTGTGCATGTGTATTTGTGTGTATATGGATTTAGTGTATGTTTCTGTGTATTGTGTGTTGTGTGTATGTGCATGTATATTTGTGTGTGCGTTTCTTTGCAAGTATGTATGTATCGCTCTCTCTTTCTGTGTGTGTGTGTGTGTGTGTGTGTGTGTGTGTGTGTGTGTGTGTGTGTGTGTTCACATACAGGTGCAGTTGTCCAAAGAGGTGAGAGTACCAGAAGACTCATTAAATCCAGAAAACAGGTGGTTGGAGTCATGTGATGTGGCTGCTGGCAGTTGAACTCAGGTCCTCTGAATGAGCAGTACATGCTTTTAGCAACTGGGCCATCTTTCCAGCCTCCAGCCTGACAGATGTTTATAGAGTTCTGTAGTAGCCTGCGGCATATCAAAGGAGGGCCTTATATTAAAGAGCTTAAGTGTTTAACAGTGAGTTAGAAAATATTAATGAATGTAAAATCAAAGTTTTCATTTTCATCTTTGTTGAAAGGATACATTTTAAGGACTATCTCAGTATTTTCAACATCATTCCATGAGAATTTATTTTTCTTTCTCCTTTCCCCAAAAGACACACTAAAGCAATCCAGAGACTTGAAACATCTGGCTGAATAGGCCAGCCACTTAAATACAGTGAACTGACAATCCTGCCTTCTGAATTACATTTGGGGCAATATTGTAACTTGAATATGTTCTCATTTATGCCATTCCATTTCCATGGAAACATTGTAAATACTAGACTGCAAATTGTTCTTCTTTCCGGGCTATTCATTTAATCTTTCTCATATGTCCATTTACTGCAAGAAAAGCCTAGAGTTTAAGTAAATCATCTTGAGGGTCAGCTACATTTTTGAAAGGGTGAGTTCCCTGATGGTGAGTCTTACGCTGTCCCTCACATGGGGCAGCGTGTGCTGTGTTTTCTGTAAGCACTAGGGTGCAAGAAGGGCTTAATATCAAGTGTACTAGAAGGAAATAAGAATACTTAAGCATCTGAGTCATGCTGTTTTTTTATTTTAGATGATTGAGTAGGAAGAATGTGGTACTTGTGTGTGTCAGAAAGAAAACTCTAGAAATTATACTGTGCAGCCGAGGTATAAGAGGGAGTGTGGGGCAGCACAGATTTCAATGCCTTTGCAGAAGAGTCCTTTGATCCTGGAGACGTGCTGATCATAAATGGCTCTCGTTTGACACTGTCAGGCTTTGGAGTTGTGCAGGAGAACAAAAAGCTGAGGCTGGCATGGATAGTAAGAGTGAAGAGTGATGCACTTCCTGATCCCACAGAAAAGCAAAGCAGTTTCAAAAATGTAATGATGTTGCAGAGCTCCCCACCGGTGCACCTCTGCCTTGTCTATACTGAGAGAATGAATGACTGCCCAAGACTGCATAAATGAGGTCCACACCTTGCTTTTTTCCTGACAGATCATGCTGTTTGTGATGACTATCATGTAGATGCCAGGGTGGTTGCATAATGTCCACAGAAAACAATGCAAAAGGTGTTCCTCAATTTCTACAAACTAAAGTAGCTGATTTGGACATGATCTACAAGCTGTTGCAGGCTCTTATGTAGCTAGAGTTTTCCTGGTCCTGCCTGGCCCACGGTCATGACAAATCTCTCTCACCTACCAGTCCCACAGTGCTCAGACCCAACCAAGTAAACACACAGAGACTTATATTGCTTATAAACTGTATGGCCGTGGCAGGCTTCTTGCTAACTGTTCTTATACCTTAAATCAACCCATTTCTATTTATCTATAAATTGCCACATGGCTTGTGGCTTACCAGTATCTTAGCATCTTCTCATGGCAGTGGCTGGCAGCGTCTCTCTGCCTCAGCCTTCCACTTCCCAGAATTCTCTTCTCTGCTTGCGCCGCCTATACTTCCTGCCTGGCTACTGGCCAATCAGCATTTTATTTTTACAGAGTGATATCCACAGCACTCTTGTCCAGGTGTCTGGAGTCACTGGAATTCCCTATCACTGTTGCAGGTGTCTGTGAGTCACTGGACTTCCTTATCACTGTTGCAGGTGTGTGTGAGACACTGGACTTCCTTATCACTGTTGCAGGTG